TGCGTTTTACGAACAACTTTCTTTTCAAAAATGGAAATTATTGATAAGTGATTAGAGGTGTGATAAGAATTTAAAAAAATATCTGAATTAATGGCAGTGGTGCTGCTAGGAGTAAGCTGAAAAATATTTCAGTCTCACAGATGGTTCATTCTATGAAAGGTTAACACATTGTACTCTTTTTTTTGTTTTGAGTTAAATTTATAATTATTATAACAGTTTTACTTAAATTAGAAATAGGAATTAATTTTATTACCAAGTAATTTTACAGTATAAAAGTAAAAATTCCAAATTATATACCTAATATTACGAGTATTTACAGTACATATATATATAGTTTTTTTGTACATGAACGTAACATTGGTAAATTATACGTTCGGTATGGTTTTTGTTTGAAAGTTTGCGGTTCATATTTTAATTTACAGTCGAATTTTAAAGTCTTCGCGAAAATAAGTTGCGTTGGTAGAGAAAATTGAGTATTGTTTTGATAAAATATTCTTACCTTATTGATGAGTTATCCTAGTTTTTTTCAAAGTACTTATTGATGTTAACTTATTTGATTCGATTATTACGCACAACGATCACTCAAGTATACTGAAGCGGGACAGTCGTCAGAATGGCCAAAAGAAAATAGTAAGAAAATGAATAAGTCTATTTCAGTATTATTATAGAGTCGTTCACCTTGATTGTTGGTCAAACCAGGAAACTGTCGCGCACGCGGATTATAACGAGAAGTTCGCGTACACACATAATAAGTGCAACACGTTACACGTTTTAACGCACTCTATAATGATGAGATGACCCACTGATGCCATGGAAAATGTTAAAAACCGCTCATATCCATGTGCCTGTACCGTTTAGCCTTCGTGGCTTCGTGTAGTTGTAACCGTACGGTTCGTTATAATTTATAATTACTCATTTGGTGATATTGGAGGAATATTGCTGACGCATAATTACAGTAATGAAATGCAATAAATATGTTCAAATCAGTATAATTAAGGTTATCCAGTAATTAGTTCTCATTTCCAAATTCATATTAAGAAAATATCAACATTTTCAATTCAAGGAAATGACTCCAAAACGGTTATATTAAACTATTATTGTGTTTTAACGTGTACTTACGAACAAAATAATACTTGCTTATTTTTCTGTGACAGGTCGTGGAAGTTGTTTTTGTTATTGAACTCAGTTTTAATTCATTTAATCCTAACACTGTTGCTTATCCATTCAGTCTCAACATTGCTATTTTTTCTTATTGTGGTGATATTATTTTTTAATGTTATTTGTATGGTTATTTACTACTTAAAATTCAAATATAAGTATTTACAAAACATTTTACATATTTATAAATAATAATTTGTTTTGCTTAGATAGATTTTACTCGAAATATTTACTTACACGGGATACATCGCAATAAGTAAATCCAAGTGGAAAACTGCAGGTCTTTTTTTTTATGGTATCAAAATATATCAATTTATTACATTTATTTTCATAAATCTGAATGTGATGGTTATTAAAAGGATATTACTACATCATCAGTAGTACCTAAAACTAATTGAAATTTTAGAAAATATTCAAAAACCACCATCTAACATTTATAGATATAAAATAATATAAATTATCTTTGAAATTTATATTTACGTTTCACGCTGTACGTATACATTAATACTATACACAATAATAATGCTTGATTTAATCCAACCTATAAGTATATTCGTTGTTATAAATCTAAGAGTTACTGTTTTATGCCACAAAAATTATAGAATATTTTATTTTTGACTGATGTATAAGTTGTGTATTATTTTATATGTTTTTAGTCATTATTTACAAAATCGATGTTCTGTGGGTCGAGTGAGACAACTGCATAGCGGTTTCTCTTACATTTTTGTACTAAGAACGCGAGCTGAGTTTCAGTTTATCGAAAAATTGTCTTTCTTTTTTGTTCCAATTGTAATCATAATAAATTGAAGTATAGATAAGATAATGTTATATGTAACTGTATTATATTATAATATATGTACTTATTATATTGTTTTTTAATTTTTTTTTAATTGATAATAACTACCTTAGACCATATTTTTTTATATTATATATATATATATATATATTGATTTTACAATATACAGATACACCATCCTACTGATAAAATGTTTTTTACTGTTGAAAACTTTTTTTTATCAAGCTGAATACAAACAATTATAGCGACGATAAGTGGCCGCTTAGTTACTGTCAATTTATCAATAGGATGACGTATTTGTTTAATGTAAAATCAATGTTACGTATAAGTATGTTCTTAATTTTATTTTTACTTAGATTTCATATAGATTGACATTTATAATTTATTTGAGTGTAATTTTTAATTTGAAAACTAATGAAAAGTGAAAACATAGTGAATTAATTTCATGATGAATAGACAATAATAATAATTAGGTAACACTAATTATTCACTTTTTAATTATATGCGTAGAAGTATCAACGTGTTAATCGTTTTTTTCAAAAAAAATGATAATTAATTACTAATTTATGTAATTTTGTAACAATCTAATTATTATCAATCATTATTACGTTTACTTAAAACAGTTAAAAAATATTTGTTATAAAAAGGTAAATTATAGCTAAAAATGAATTTTGTTTTCACTTTTTTTTACACCATTCTCTATTATTTATTAAATATATGTGACTAATTATTTTTAGTTTTTAAAGGCAGTCATAAATAGCAGTAGGTTAGCAGTATTCTTTTATTCTGTTAATTTTTTAATTAGTTTTGATTGGTTTATTTTAGTAAAGTCTTAAATTGTGGCTCATGACTATTATAGTGGTTCTCTATACTTAACCGGTGAGTCACGTAAGCTCTAAGATTGGGTGGTGATTAGTCTTTAGTTCAAAATTTAAAAAATTCAAATTCATATGTAATAAACAATATTATATGTACTATATTATTCATGTCATATGACATAAAATAAAATAATTTTCGAGTTAACCCAAAACCGTACTATTTTATAATTGTAGAAGATAAGAATAAACAATCGATTAAAGTAATGGCATAGCCCAAGTTAATCGATTTACTCTTTTCTTTTGATAAACTATTTTCACCTATCATTTATAAATAAATTACATAATACAGAAATGAGCCAAGTCGAAGTATTTTGTGTGAAAACAGTATCTAAGGGTCAAATATCGTACTATTTTATTTTTTGTATTATTACATATACTTTTTTCTGTATCATTACTTAGATTAAAATTAAATATTACCAAGATACCTAGAAAATATAAATTTTTATTTATTCAATTATAAAAGCATTTCTACAATGGTATACCTACATTAAACAATCTTAACTTTTTTTTTTTGATTTTCATGTCTAACAAAGTGGATATGGGTCACAAAAAATGTATGGTAAGAAAAATGGGTCACGAATCAAAAAAATTTAAGACCACTGCTCTAATATATGCTTGAAAAAAATTGTTATATTATAGTCAATTAAAATTGTCTCTAAACAGTAATTTCATATGGGTAATAGGAAAATATAAAAAAAAATTACTTCTAAGTAAGTTGTCTCAATATACAGTTATTAATAACAGTAATTAATTGATAGAATATTTTTAAAAAATTATAATTAATGTGAATAAGTTATGTGCGTTATAAATTAATAATAATTATGTAATTATGATAGGTTTTTAAAATAGTCATATAATATAACAAAAATATTAAATTCATTCAAAATAAAACATTTGTATATACCTACTTCATAATAAAATGTATAGTAAAATTGTTTGTATTTCTTGGTTCTCATGGTGTCATAAATATTATCTTATTGTACTCTCGGATTCAAAAGTTAAGTTAATAAATTAAGTCAAGTATAAAATAATACTTCTGAATAAATACTTATTATCATCTTGATTTCAATTTTAGTTGCAACAGTTTTTACGATGGAATTTTTTCCGAGCCAAAAATGTAAACTACTAACAATTAATAAAAAAAACGTAGGTAGGTACGCATTTACGTCATAGTATATATTATAGCACATGAGATGGACATGTTTAAACGCCTTCTTATTTTGGTATCAATACATTTTTATTTTTTATTTAGTTATTTTTTTATTACATAAATTAATGAAATTATGGTCAAAACTTGTGCGTCATAATTGCATACGTCAATATCTTCCTATACTTGTGGGATTATTATATTTTCCATTAAATAAATAATGAAATTATTTAACTTTGGACTACTATAAATATTTATTAGATATACTAAAAATATGCGTTTATTTCTTCGTATAATATATATATTAACTAGTTTAGTAAAATTCGCTTAAGTATTAGCTACAGCTTTATTTTATTTTTTACCAAACATAATAATATGTGATTTTATGCAAGGGGTAGTAAGTATATTTTTATAAAGCTTAGTTGATCTCAAATATAATTAAAAAAACGACTTTTTTTTTAGTTATTTCACATGTATGATTATATAATAAAATCAATAAGCGCTGGAAAAAATAGATCGACAGTTTGTAATAAAAAAATATTAGCAAAACTAGGTACGTTTTTGGTACCTATAGAATAAATTAATTCTAAGTTTTCACACATTTTGTTAAATCATGATTCGAAATAATTCTATTATACCTACTGTAAAATATTAGAGTTTAGCCATTTATAATATTATGCATAATGTATTTAAAGTAGATCATATTGTGTACTTGAAGTATAACTAAGACTTATTAAAGTAACGCGGCGGACAAAGTAAAATAAATGGACTACCACTTACGTTTGATATATACTATACTGGGCATTATAACTAATATAGTGCCGTATAGTAAATTAATCATAGGAAAAAAATTTGCTGCAAAATATAAGGGTTTACAATAAATCTTAAAACGCAAACAGGTTTATCGCATGAGACATTGGGCTATTGGAATCGTTCAAGGTTCGATCTCTGAATCCAGTTTAGTACGTTTAGAGATAGGTAGTATAATATGTTTAATTGATTAAAACCATTTTTAACTTACCTCATTTATGACTTGCGTCTTGGGTATTTTAATTTCCGAATACAACCTCCTATCCAAGGAAATAGCAGTGGATATCATCTTCAAAAGTCTCAAGTCACGTATTTTGTTCAGGAACTGGATGGCATTATTGACTAGCATTACCAACCAGTAGCTCGTTCACGTCCACCAGCATTAATTTACCTAGAAATGTATTCAAAATGTGAATTCTTGTGTACTCGTACATTTACGGAAAAAAAAAAAACTCCAATGATAGTATAATTGGGGATGTTCGTATTATTTTTGTTTTTCCTAAAAACATGTTATATTTTTATATTTAATAATATTAAACAGTAGGTATTCATAATTAACGAAAATAATTATTATTCGATCAGTAAAACGAGCACATATAACAGCATATATAACAACCCATATATTATAAACTAGCACTAATAAACATAAACTGAAGGACAACATTTTAGTATCGATTTTTTTTTTTTTTTTTAATATTATATCTATTGTTTTAATAAGAATAATTTATTGTAAATGTGCGTTATTGCGGGTTTAAAAAGCCGGAAATATAAAAATGTAGCGTAGACGTTATTTCAAGGTCTAACGTTCATTTTTTAATTCTTGAACTCTGGAGTTACTGAAACCTGTAAAATCATGGTCAATTCTAATAAGCAATAATTATTTAAAAGTGTTAACCAAGTAGTGAGATTTCATATTTTAAATTATTTTACATACCTAACCAATATAATTTAATAATAATCCTGCACGCAACATTGTTTAATCTGGACATTTAGTATTGATATATAAATAAATTGATTAATTTTGCTTATTCATTCGTGTAAAAACATTTAGGAAATAATAATTTGAATAGTGAATATTTTTATTATCAGGTAAAATAAATAAAATAATGAAATTCACAAAAAAAAGATCATCATTATAAATTATTCAAAAATTACTTAGCTTAATGACTTATTATACTGATCATTTTTTTAATATTAAAACCATCTGAAATATTTTAATTAGTGTAATTCTTTGATAATTATCAAAGAAACAAAATTAATTATACATTAACTTTATAAGGTTTAGTTTTACTTAAATTATTTATACATGCAACATACATTTTCTTAGAATCTGAGTCCTTAAACACGTGATTGTGAATACTATAAATAAGTGCTTCAGTTACATTTTCTTGAATATACTTTAATGGGCATAGAATTTTTTTTTTTTAATATTATACAAATTTGAAAATATTATATTGTATTTGTTGTTATTTATACAAATTTGTTATTAATATTATGGATTCTGACCATTTTGATGTAGAACATTCATAAAACAATGTGACTTAATATAAATAGTTCACTAATTATGTTATTCAGGGACCTAAATAAGGGTTGGGGTGGACATTAATGGCAAATTTCTTCTGTAGTTGTAATTATATTTAATTTAAAATTATAAATATATTGAAACTGGTTTTTGTAACCCTTTTGATAAATTATTTATCATTAAAACGAGTAATTAAATTTGGGCTTTCTTATAATAATAAAAAAATGACAATTTTTGAGCAACTTTAAGTCTTCAAACCCTAATATTTATTCAAATATGCATGAATAATGTTACGTACGAATTTACGAATAAGTGTACTCGTATTTATTAGTATATGTATATGTAATTATGGGAAAACTGATCAGTATACAGTATTGTAATAGGATAAAAAAAAAGAAGAAGTATTTTATACTTCTTCTTTTGCTGGTATTTATTACTCTTGGAGAGTTTGCCGTCATCACGATCTGTCTCCATTCCTCTCTTTTATGAACTATTGCCCTCCACTCTCGTACTCTTATTCCCTTATTCCTGTATAGTATTATATACTGTACAGTATATATTTTATACTGTATAGTATACAGTATCGCATACGTATTGTGTAAATAAAGCTATAATACATTATTGGCGGACGACGATTATCGTATAGATAAGCCATAAATGTACTTATGCATCGCGGTCGTTTGACGTTTATTAAATATTTTACAATGAACAATCTAGCAAAATGTTTAAATTTTACCAAAATATGGTATGTAGACTAAAAATTTGTTTGAATCGAAACGATAAACGTATTTTTTTTTCGAATCGGAACATTTTATAATGATCTAAATTAATATTCTTTGTTTTATTATTTATTATTTACTATTTACACTAAGAATGTAGTATACGAGAGAAAAATATTTTTTGTTTGTCAGATTAGGTTGGAGTAGTCGGATACTATAGTATCGTTGGATATTATACTATTTTTGCTTTTGTTATCATGTAAGTATAATTCGAGAGGGATTAGGTTAGCAGATAGAGAACATTTACATGAGTAAACATGTGATAAAATAAATTTGACAAAAACTACACAAATAACGAATAAGTAATAACTTGGTATATTTTTATAGTTTAGAATACAAGATATGTTGTACGGTAATTGGATCGATTAATTTTTCTATGAACACTTGCGGTTAGTTTTTTGCAATACATATATAATTATAAAGATTTAAAAAATGTTGGCTAATAAAAAGACATCACGTAAACACAATATTTTATACGAAATATATACAATATCTTTATAATAGCAATTGGTTTGTTCAAGTTAGTGTGAACTAGAGCACGTACACTTGAAGTAACGATGATTCATTTATATTACGTATTATATAAGGAACAAAAACATATTCGGCTGAAATCATGTAAAAAAAAAGAAGAATATTATTTTATATATTATATGCAAATAATACGGACGTGAAACAGACGTCACACATTCAAAATGTATATACCAGTGTATTGATTTTAATAACACCTTGACATTGAAGTGGGATACAGTAAAAGACACCAATCTCCTACAAAAAATCGCCTTAATTTAACCTTGATTTGTTTTCTTATGCCGTCTACTTTTACGTAAATGAGAGGTCTATGACTTGACGTAGTATGCGTTGCATTGTTAATAATGACGAGAATGTACGGTTTAAGTATTTTGTTAAAATATTCGCACTAAATAATGTTTCAAAAAGTACAGTTTTTATTTTAACGAACATCTAAGTCATCATTCTAATTATTTTCAATACTAGCTACTATTTGGGAATTTTGTGCACATTTACTACCCAAAAATGTGTTAACGGAAAAATTGAAACAAAGAAAAGGTCGAAAATAAACTATTACATTCCACATTTTAAAATTAGTACATGTTTTAAGGGCCAAAATATCAGTATAGAAACCAAATTTTCAATTAGTAAAAATTACAAGTTTTTAGCTAGCAAAATTAACAAAAATATGTACGATTGATGAATAATAGTGGGACACCCACATCTAAACATTTTGAATCTCACTTTTTACCGTCCATACAAGTATATACATACCTGTCATATTGCATAAAAAGTGTGAAATAATGGTTTTTAAAAAAATAAAATAAAATTAAGATTGTTCAATATTAAAATCTACAAGCATATTAATTTTCAAAAATTGATAATTTAAAACAAAATAAAAATGTAGATTTTGATTACCCCAATTTGATGGAAATATTGAGATTCATCTTTTATTGTTGAGTGTGAATTGTATTGTTCTAGAAGGTTTTGTCTCGTTTCGAAATAGAAGCTGTAATTTATACGTTATTATAGATTAAACGGAGATCGATTTGCCACGCGAAGAATTACAATTTTTTTAAATACAATTTTTATATTTAAGTATGAAAAATAAACAAGATTTTTTGATGTTTTTATTATACTTGAATTGCTAAATACCTTAATAGTAAGCTAATAACTGATTGCTTTTTGCGTCGATGACATTTTTTGAGAGAAGGCAGATCTCCCTTCATCTGATGATCACCACTAATGATTTAATTAGATTATATTCAACTTTATTTACTAAAACAAAAGAATGCTAATGTAATTACAATGCATTTGATTTCAAATTAATTAGTTTATTTGTCACGTTCGATGTGTTGGTTTATTTATACGTATTGCTGGTGCATGTTATTGTTTATTTCATACCGCGATACCTATTAAATGTTTTCGAAAAATAATTTATATTTTATCAAATAAAAACATGTTTAAAATTACTGTAATGATACATGATTGTAGGTAAATATTTTTAACAATCATTATTATGACAATTAGCCGGGTGCAATTTTCTCTACGGGCTGTTTTTTTGACGTTCATGAGTTGGTAGTATGTTGGTACGATTGGCCAACAATGTTTTATCGAAATTCAAATAAAAACACATTGTGTATTCATTTTGTTGATAACAATGAAAACGAATTATACAATCTACCTAACGCTGTACCTTCCAACGCATAAAGTTATATGTATTTGATTTAAACAAAAATTACTGCTTAAGCCATGAAATGAAATTGAAAACAGTGTTTTTTCATACTACTAGTAGTTTGGTTTACGGAACCGATGTGACGTTGATATAAATTAACCGAATGGAAATATTTATAAATCTCGATTTCGCATTATCTTCCGTGTAAGTATATTGTATCTTATTACTTACTCGATTTATTGAAAATCTTCGTGTACAATATGTGTTACGCGGTGTGTCGAACGTATACTTTGTTATATGAACGATTTTCGTTACAAGCGCACAACATACTTCGGAGGTGCAAAAACAACAATTCACACTGTTCGTCGATAATACAATTTACAACCGATTCGTGCAGTGTTCATCGTAATATTGTTGTGAACGGCGGATGCGCAACATCGACCGTTTACAAACGAATTTCAAAACGATCGTTAGGGTTAGAAAACCAACCGTTAGTGGATCGACATGATTTCACTAGAGATTCAAGAGCACCCGGCTTACAGCGAGCACGTAATACGAATTATTAAGCGCCGAGTAAATAACATGCTGTTTGTAAATAGTATTGTAATAATGTTCGTTGTACGTAAAACGTTCCGGACGGACGGAATCGAAACGACCGGCGAGTAGCTGAATCGCAACTAACCTAAACGCAGTTGCTAATGTGCCAATGACCTTGGTAGGTTACACGAGATCGAGTGAGATATTCTACGAAAGAAAGACGGACATATTATTCCCTGTACAAAAACTGGTATTATATTTCCTGTTATTCGTTTATTTACATTTGAATTACCATATTATACGTCGGTATTTTATAGCGTAAAAAATATTATTTCACGTTAAACTTCGAACTCACAAGCCGGACGATGCCTACCACATTTAAATTAATATTATACATTGCACTTGTTACGTAATATTATTGTGGAAGGCTTACGACACTGTAGAAACGATAGCGTTTACTTTTGTTCGATTTGAATTTAATTTGATTTTTGACTTGTTTACCAAATGGTGAACCGGCGCGGAGAGGATATCAATATATCCAAAAACTTAACATTAATAGTGTCCGTCATTCATAACGTTCAGTCGTGATAATTTCTAGACGAAAACGATTCGAAACTATTTATCATGCAAAAATTAATATTTTAGAATGCGTTGATTAATAGTTTTCTTGGTTCGAATGTTTATATCATTAAACTTATAATGTACAACAATTATAATAATAATAGTTGATTTAGTTATTGTCGAGTACTTAACACTTTATCATATAAGGTATGATAATTGATATGTGTACTGTACGATTATTATGTTAAATACTATTTTGGTTTCGTTTACTGATAAAATGTTGTTGTTTTATTTGCATTGATAAAACTAAATGCCTGCTATCAATAACCACCGACATTTCATAAATTCACCATAAGATTTTCAATGCTGATGACTAGTATTTTTGTCAATTTAACGGTAATCGTATTTTGCTTTGAGTAATAATTATGTTGTTGAATAATATGTACAATGTATATGTATATGGCATTATGTAAATAATATATATAATAAAATATGTAATATATAAATAAAACGATAATATTTTATGATTTTTAGTATACAATCAAAATTAAAAATATTATTATACCATGATTAATATTATATTAAAGTCTTTGAAGTACAATTTGAAAATCATAAAAGATTATGGATCACCATTATAAAAGACTGGAAACCACTGGTTTTCAGTAAAAAAGTCTAACGATAAAATGTGTATATATATATATATATATATATACATGTATTTAATATATGCGACTTATGGAACATTTGGTTATCACTTTTATGTATAATACTCATGCGTGTCATGAGTCATAATACAAGCAAATATTTTTGTACTTCATTTTTTATAAATTCATTAGAGCCAGATGTTTTGCCGTGACTTACAATTCTTTGAGACTAAATCCCTAAAATGGACAGTTTTATTTAATTTAATACTTATTTACATCATCAGGTATAGTATAATGTGTCATATATTATGTTCACATGTCAAAAATCTAGGGAAAATTATAAAACTTATCTTAAGAAAAAATGTAAAGACGAAAACAACATATACCTTACTTCATAAACAAAAAAAGAAATATACTCCATCTACGTACAGCCAATAATATAATTTCCGTTATAATAATAACCTTGTATATAGACAGATGACATGTGCGTGTGCATAGCATAACATATGACCAATAAAAAATGTATATTTATTTATACTTTTATTTATACAATAGTGCATTCGTTTTTAAAACATTGTATAGTGTTTTAACATGTTACTATGTTATTATGGTGATAGTTCAATGACTGTTATCCAAAATTATAATCAACACAGAAACGTATTCACGCTCTGATAAAATCGAAAATATTAATATACAAGTTATGGTCTTGGAACATAGTCTTCGATTTAAAGAAATGCAAAATTATGTAGAATAAATCATAAATATATTGAAAATTCAATAGTGACCTAAAATCATTAAAGTGCCCTTAAAAGCGTTTTAATTTTAAGAATGTATTAAATGTTATTAATTTATTAATTAAATATTAAGATATTACGATTGATTTTGTACTTAAAATATATTTTGGTAATTACCATTAAATATATTTATTTGTTTCAAGGTTTTAGAATAATTTATAATAATATTGTTATATTACAATATATGCATACCTAGGTACACTATTTCGGTTGATTTGTTGAATTGTTATACTATGTGTAACTTAAGCAGTGCTTAAAATGAGGGATGATGAAAAAATACTTCAAGTTTAAAAGTATTTAATACTTCTAATTTTTGTTAGTGTTCTTTAATTTTTTTTTCTTTTGCCAGGGATGGGAATCATTTTTTAATTTTATTAAATTAATTAAAACAGTGCAGGCCATGTATTATCATTTCTAATGACAATTTTAACCTACATGTTTACTAATATAAATCATTTTCATCAAATTAGGATGACACCCATACATTGTCATTCTTAAAATATTGTTTTAACCTTACATGTTTACATAAACAACCACGAGATGCAATTTCGTTTTCAAAAATATGTATTTTTGTCTTATTGCGTATACATTCGAATTTTTCCCAAGAATTTTAGGCAGTTCGCGTTTTGTCCAATAATTTCTGAGGTTTGCTTGAATTCGAATTTTGACCGTAACATCTATAAATAAAAAGTGGCTTGATAATATTAATATCTAATATGGTGACGATAGAGTTAGAAGATTGGAAACAAAATTGCAACTCTTCATAAAAAATACCGTCATTAAACCCACTTACACTGCAGTTTCAACTATTGTTTTATATTCATCTGAATATGAAAGATCATTTAGTTCCATATATAATCAGTGTTGTACATAGATAACAAAAATATTATCTAGATAAGATAACGGGTAATACATTAAAACTTCATCTAGATAAAATAATAGATTAATACTGTATAGCAGTGGCCACTATTCAGTGGTTACTGGTTGGATTTATTATTATATATTACTTAAATCTAAGTTTAAACATTGTTATTTATGGGACGTTCCAGCCATAGATTGACGTTTTATGTCCATGTGTTCACACAATTATTGTCTAAATTATTACTATATGAGTATTTTATTAGCTATTGGGTGGGTATATGTATATTAAATTCCCGGCATTGGGCAGCGGGTATCGCCCAGTCGTCGATTATATAGAAAAAAAAAAAGTTAATCGTTATAAAATTGAATAGTATTATTTGAAATACGTTCATTTTTATGTTTTCTGTGTAAATAATTATACAATACATTTTCTTCGTTTATAGAGTATGTATATTTAAAATTTAAAACGTACATAGGTTAATACTAAGTGTTTATTATTTCTCATTTCACTTCACATAAAAAATAATTATCTTTTTCAAAATTATCTAGATAATTTATTTTAGATAACCATTTTATTTAAAAAGATGGATAAAAAGATATTTCAAATTATTATTATCTAGATAAGATAAAAATATTTATGTTTTATCTAGATAAATCATCTAGATAATGCACAATACTGTATAAAACATAATAACACCTAAAAAGAAATGCTCTAACTCCAGAAAACATAGCATCAACACATTAGTTGTGTTGGAACACCTGTTCAATTATTTTATTAACCAGATTCGTATGTAAAAAGTTGGATTAAATTAGGTTAAATAAGTGTAAAAGAAACAAGATGTCCAAAACCAGATGAAAAAGATATTGAACATTCATATGAACATTTATGGATCTATTCAAATTTATATTGTTTTACATTTTTATTATTATATATTAATAATAAATATACAAATATACTTTTTCGTTTTTAATTTTTAAATAAAAGATAATATTTAATTGTTGTTGTATTGTTGTATAACGTAAAATATGGTTACGGTTGTTGGTATTGGAGGCAAACCCTTCACCTAATAATAAGACATTTGAATGCTCAGGGTTGTACATACTTTTTATAATTTTGCATCCCCTTTCTATTTGTTTTCAATAAACTTAAGCTGAAAAGTTAACCGGATTCATTCAACTGCAATGCTTTTTTGGGTATTAGTCACATTGGTGATGAGTGTACAAGAATTGAAACATAATTTGAAAATTTTTTAGGTTATTTGCAATAGGAAATGTATAAAAGTTTGTTATTATTAAATATTTTATAACTATGAGTTTATAAATTGAATATGATTTGGAATTAACACATAGATACTTTTGTATTTTTAAAGTTCAAATAATAAATGAATTCAAGATTTTTTGTATACTTTTAGATAAAGTTCAAATGTAATATTCAAGTCCCTCTATAAAAATTAAATTATGTCACCCATACAAATATAAATTCTAAAAAAAAAATATTTTATACTAGTGTTACAATTTGTAAATTCTCTTCAAATAATCGTTATTTGATACTTTTGAGACATTTTTATAATAAAAATTGAACTGTCGTAATTTCTGTACATTTTTAAGTGATCTATAATTTTTAAATAAAACATAGATTTAATAACTATCAAAATAAATTAAATACGGTAAAAAATAAAAAGTAAAAATAAAAATAAAAATAAAAAATATAAATCTGTAAATCTGTAAAGCAAAATGTTGTGATTTTTATCGTTTTGTCAAAATTTGATATTTAAACGTTTATAACTCTTTTATTTTTTAAGTAAACAATATTGTACTCAATTATCAGAAATTTTTGTCAAATCAAAATAATTTTATCAATATTTTGGTAAAAATTCTAAAAAACATGACAATTTTAATTTTCTATAAATAGTTCAAAAAATATTTTTAAGATTATACTATTAAAAATAATTCAGTGAAAAAAATCTTTAGATTATAATTTTTTGAGTTATGATATAAACAATAATTCGATTTGATCGAAAACCGGTTTGTCGTAAATGTTGATGTTTTTTTTTATAATATTTAGTCAGTTTTTTTAAATAATTTATAAAACTACTGAGAAATTTTAAAATAATATTTTTTTAAAGTAAACTAGACATGCATATCTCATTATACTCAGAATCTAAATTGATTAACTTGCAACCTTGTAGAATAATGTCAAGTTTAAGTATACGATGACTAGTCGTAGTCTCTTATTTTATTTACCTCGGATTAAGGATATTGTAATGTTATTGTTTTTCATTTTGAACAATTGAAGGCAATTATATATTTAACATTTTAATAAAATTTTACAGTTTTATCTCAGTTTATTATTCCGTTAGAGTTATTTCATAATTACTGTAAGCATTTACATTAATCTGTAACAGTTTTGTTAGCAATTATTTTCTTAATTTATTAAATTCAATTTGAAATTGGAATAAACAAAATATCTTTTTTTATATTTATACTAAAAATTAAATCTATAAAATATAACAATAAATTCTAATGAATTATATTATTTAAGTATTATAGTTTTTATAATAATTATTTGGTTAAATTTTTAAAATCAATGCATTTGAAAGATTATTAATTGAATAACGACGAACAAAATACAAGCATTGTAATGCATTTTGATATTGATATATTGATATATATTTTTAAAACAATTTATTGAAATATACATGGTTGTAGATGAGCAATAATTAGACTTTTAGACTCATTCCATTATGCAAATGTTATTAAAATAATCATTAATGAAATAACTTGTAGTCGTAAGAAAAATGACTTGTAGTTTGGCGATAGCTCATCTATTTCACACTTGAATATTATTTTACTTTTATGTGTATGCGAACGGTACGTAATCGTGAAGTGATGGTATACGCTGGTATATAATACTTCTTGTTGTTTTTATACCCGTACGATAATAATGTTGCCTATTCAGTCTGTCTATGGTAGCCGTATAACTTCAACAATATTACGTTAATGTGCATTTTAAGTTGCCTATCTTACAGGATTTTTCTCGGACGTTCTCGACCGACACCAATATAAAATAATAAATCGTAATGAATTGTATGAATTATAATTTATAACGTAGGTTTTAATATGTCTTTACATTCGTTTTTAGGATGTGCAATAAATACATGTTGTTAGTTTCATCAAGACCGATGGTTTTATATTATTAATTTCATAAGAAATGTAACGAAAACATATTTAATAGAAAGACTAATCAGGTGTCATTAGAAATATGATTCACAAAGAAATACGACAGGTATGAATATGATAAGTATGATAAGGAGTTTTTTCATATTTGAACGAGATTTAACAATGTTTGAAAATTACTTAAATTGAGTACTAACTAATAGTTGCATAGTGCTCTTAAGTTTAAGACCGGTTACTATATTTTATTATTACAATTTTTGTATAATTGTCCGTCTTGACTATAATGATTATTTCATAATTTAAATGGAACAATCCAACCTAAATTTGCACGTAACCTCATCTCGTTGTTTTCATCGAACATTTTTGACCTAAAAACTATCATCTAAACTATTTTCTGTTAATCATTTTTAATTTTTTACAATTTTTGTTCATTCAATAAAATAATTTAGTCTGTTTTGATATTATATTATATGGTTAAACAATATCATACCACAATAATTTAGTTATGTGTTTCCATCGTAACACGTATAATTGAAGTGTGTATGCATTATTTTAATTTATACTTAATATTGTTTAAAGAAATTTCCATTGTTAATTGTAAACCACTAGTCATCGTGCTTCCAATACTATGAGTCCATATCCTAAAACCATTGTACAAAGTAATAAAATTTTTCATGATTTAATTTGAATCAGTCTGTTTAAATTTATGAGATTTTGTTTAATTTTTTTATTAGCTTTTGATAATTATGCGAAAAGTCAGTTGACATTTATTCAGAGCATAACAGATTTAGCGGCCAAGCCAAATTATGTCGAATGTTTATACGAAAATAATGTTATCGATATAGTTCTACCATTAGTTACTAACATAAATCCAACTGTGAGAATGAATGCGGTTTTGAGTTTGGCGAGATTGGCTGGCAATAGCGAAAATTGTGCCAAACAAATTCTGTGTTCGAAAGACTTACTTAATCGGTTGCTCGGACAAATCATTAAGGAAAATGTAAGTTAACTATATATACAAATATGTATAATAAATAGGTATACTGCATTTATATCATATTTTCTCCTACTTATACTTTTGAAAATGGTAATCAAACAAGTTTAGCCTAATTGAAATTTATTAATTTATGATAAAAAAAAAAAAAAATGAATACAAATATCGTAGAATTCCAACCAGGATTGCAGGGATGTATTATATTTTAATATTATAAATCTAATAAATCGAAAATACTTATTAGTCTGGGCTTCTGTTTGACTGTTATTAAATAAGATATGCTTATTATATAATTGTAAATTACTATTCGAAGTTTAATAAATTTAAGTATAATCTTTCAGACACGGCAAAAGCACAAGTTAAGAAAAAAATATTATACTAAAAACACGATTTTATAATAATAATATAATTATTTTATTAAATAGATTTACTAGAAACTTTATTTATTTTCGGGATAATGGTTTTAATTCATATATATATCACACAAGCTGAAATATTATTTGTATTATTATATATTTGAACTGTTGTATGTATGCTACAATTGCTATTTAGGTATTATTTTGAACAATACACACCAAGTATCGTAAGCTCTAACAGTTGCGAAATATATAACTAGGAGAATTTCTAGATGTGAAATTATATCTATAAAAATTAAATTGTAAGGAAATTAAATGTTTGCAATTTATTTTAAAAATCAATATATAAAAATAAGTTAAAATTAAAAAATTAACATTTTTGCCAATTAAAATTGATAACAATTAATTTATATTATGGTATAAATAATAACACAATGTCAGTACTAAATCTATTTACATTTTAAATACAATCAAAATCATTTAATGTTTAATTTTTTTTTTTTTTTTAGAAATATTACAAAAAAAGTTGCATGCACCTCATTAAAAGTCTTAGTAAATACTCAGCCATAAATTCTAAAATTGTATTGAAAGAATGTGGAGGAATAAATGCTTTATTAACATGCATGAAAGACTTTGATGTATACGTCAGAGAAGGTGCTATGCAAGCAATTACTTCCATTGCTCGCCATGACGCCAGCCTCTCACAATTCCTGATTGACTCCGGTACATATTGAAATTAAAATTATTTATTCAGGATAACGTTTAAGGTGTAATTGAAAATCCAATGATTGATATTTGTTCTCAAAGTTATTCAATATTATTCATATTGGAAAATATTTGATGAATTTATTTTATATATATATATATATGTATATGTATATGTATATATATTTAATATATATGTATTTTACTCAATAATAATATCCAATATGTCTGTATGAAGTTTTATTAAGTTTTATATTTAATCTTGTTATAATATTAAAATAATTCTAGACCAATCTGAGGTGTACGAGTACGTAAGCGTTAAACGAATTACAATGTATAGACTTGAATGTTACCCAGAAAAAAAAATTACAAAAAAAAAAACATAGTATTATTTTTCTTCTCTTCTGTAATCATCCTTTTACGGTATCTCATTAATAGAATCTCTAGAATTTAATTTTTATCAGATGAAATAGGTAATATATTGTATTTCAGTTTTTATAATATACTTAAGTTATTGTTTTATTAAATAAAATTCTCACTATGAATGTTGTTTATTAATTTTAGAAATACAAATAATGATTATATATTGTGAGTTAAATCATATTATTGTCTGTAACAGCTTCACTGTACATAGATATATTATATAAAAATACACCTCTATGTAATTTAATGTAATTTTTATTTCGTATAATGCTCATTGTTCTACGAATATTATATTTTTTAATATATTTTTAAATTATATACATAAAATGTAAATAGTATAATATACTTGAGGAATACTTATACATTATTTTGAATATTATTATACACGACGCTATAGTACAAGTATATTGATATATATTGGTTTATTTATTTTTTTTGTATTTAACTATAAAATTATTGTATAAAATTAAATTTTTATCGTTATGATTATAAAGTCTCGAAAAATTGATTTTTGAAAATAACTAAACTGCTTTTTTATTTATATTAAATTAATGTGGATGTAAACTATAAACGAAATTATATATATACATATAATATATATTATATATATATATATACAAGTAATATTATGCTCGTATATTTGAGCTTTGAAGTTAAACAAATTACCTTTAGAACTGTTAGTTGGTGAACTTACTGTACTTACTAACGTACTTGTGTACAGCAGAATATTCACATATTTAATTTAAAACATCTTCCAGATTTATACCGTACTTATACCACTGGAATAATATATTGGTATCTTTTTGTTTGTATTTATAGGCGTGTTACCTCAAATAATTTCATGTTTAAAAGAACAACATCAAAATTTAAAACTATGTGCTTTAACAGTATTGGATGAGATAGCCAAGCAAAACCAACATTTGGCCCAAATAGTTGTGGAAGTATCTACTTTGCCACTTGTGATGAATTATTTATCTCAAAACTTTACTGATGTTAAAGTTCAAGTAAAGTCAATACAATTATAGAGTTTAATTTTTCATCAATTATTTACAGAACACGATACTCATATTGCTATTGATAACTGTTAATTAAATATCCTAAATGTATTACTAATTTTTAATTTCTTAATAATTTAAATATTTATAGAGAAGTGCATTGATATTGTTGAAAAACATTGTTAAACATTCGCTGTTATTGACTGAAAGTGCAATTGAGTCTAACTTATTCCCAGAAATATTGTTGTTAATGGCGCACCCGGATGAACTTATACGTGTCAATGCTGCCAAAGTCATTTGTGAAATAGTTAAACAAAGCGTTCAAGTACGATCATACATTAAGAGTATTTCAAACTTTTCCAATCTGTTGCTATGTCGCAAATATGTGGATCTATGATTTTAACTTGTTGATGACAATTGTAAATTATTACGTAAAGCTCGTGATCAACTAACGTTTGTCATTACAGATAGCTCAATTAGTTGTTAACAATGGTGGAATAGCTTCATTGATAAATGTGATTTCGTGTAGCAAAGAACACCCGGCTACCCCTGCTATACTTGCATTAGGATATATTTCCGCCATGTCACCATTACTTGCATCAGCTGTAATTCAATCCAAGGTTTAAATGAATTTTTTATTGGTTAACGTTAATAAAACGCATACCATCTAATAACAGTTTATGTAACTTTAAGGGATTGCTGCACTTGATTGCTATTTTAAAAAGCAATGTGGATAGATTTACGAAAGCCGGCGCGATTTGGACAATAGGCTTGATAGGGCAACACAGTTCTGAACATTCGAGGAGTGTTGCAGCTTCTGATGCTTTAAACATTATGATGGACGTAAGAAGAAAATACGAAGTGTGATATAATGAACTTATTTACGGTTTACTAATAAAGTTTGTTTTTGTTTAGATATACATTAACTCAAATTTGGAAAATGAATGCAAACATAAATGTAGAACTGCTCTTCAACTAATATTGAAAGAATGTGACGATTACACAGTTTTTGAAAACTTGTTAACGCCATCAACTCCCGTTGAGATTATGACATTTATACTAAATAAGATCAGCAAAGTATTTTTTTTAATTTAATATAAATTACCTGCATTCCGTGTTGTATGTATAATAGTATGTAGTAGAATTTCATTAACTTGAAATCAAAGTAGAATACAAATAATTTTAGTTATTCATATTTTGGATTGTTTTATTTTCTAAATATTGTGATTTTTAATCACTCAAAAATGTAATATATAATTCGTTTGAATTGATAATCTAATTAAAGTTGAATAATAAAAATAGTAATAATTAGTTAATTAATGTTTTATAACAATCACTTATCAGTATATTCAATGTACAATTAATTAAGTACTGAGGCTATTTACATGCAATTAAATAAACATACGCGCAACTAATTATTTTAATATTAACAACAGTTTATCAAATGCACAGCATATTTTAGTAATGTTAATTATTAAGTACTTATTTGAAATTATTTTACAGATATTGCCGAAAAATACGAAATCACGAAGAAGCTTTATTACAAATGGTCTTCTGAAAATGATTCAAAATCTTAAGCCAGAAATTGATTCAGAATTATTTCAAGTTATCCAAGCGGTAAATTGTTGTTTCCCAGAGGATATTATACAGTAAGATAAAAATGTGAAGTGTTGAATTTTGAATTGTTCATGCTAATTTATTCATACTGTTTTCAAATAAGAATGGTAGCCGGAGATTTCCCCGAAACTGTCATGAAAAAAGTAGACAAATATGTACCAGAAAATCATTGTTTGTTTTACAATCGTCAGGTTAAAGATGGGAAAATCCCTCCTCCGAATGAACCATATTTATCTGGTGAAGAATAGTTTTTTGAACAATATTTTGTCAATTTAATAAATTAGGTATAAAATAAAAATTTAGTTTTATATCTGCTATTATGTTTACGTTTTATTTGTATTATGATTAAAATGTAATTATCAAATATTGTGTGATAACTAAAATCAGTATTGCACTATAGGAACAAATTAGATTGTGTAAGATGAATAATTTATTTAACATGTGCTAAAATAAAATCAAATATTTATACTAGACAAATAAGTTTCAATCCTAATCGGTTTATACACATTGTTTAACTATATAAGTACATTGATGTGACTTAAATGAATTGAATTAATTTAGTTTTATCAAATTATTCTTGGCTTTGTTTCATTTTAAAATCACGGCCGTAGTTATAATATAATTACATTTGAAAGTTCTTTAGTAGGACAAGTTAAACGGAAATAAACTGTATGACAGTATCTTGTGTTTTTAACCAAAGGACAAACGTCAAATTCAATAATATCACAACTGCAATGACCTTCTACAGTGAACCTGGGATAGAACATCCAAAAACCTTGTTATTACACTTATAGCTGTAACAGCTTAAGGTTAATGTGTTAAACTAACAATGTGTGTATATATATATATATATCAATGTTTGTAGTAAATGGTTATATTTAAATGTGTAAATTGGTAATTTATAGAACGTAGGAGGTGTTTGAAAAATAGTAAAAAATTAATTCAATTATGTTAAAATAATTCTATATTTTAATAATGATAAAGACATTAATTATGATAATCAATTGGTTTTCAAAGCATTAATTAACTTAGTTTATTTTTAAATCCTATACATCTTTTAATCATAATATTTTAAATTTATGGATGGTAGAATATAGCGGAAAACAGTAAAAATATAGATTTATATGGATTTTAAGATTGAAATAAAAATTACAATGGATTCATTCAGTTATAATGATTGTAATATTATTATTGTGACTTTGTTCTTAAATGCTCGGTACTTTTGTGCTATACGTGGCTGATGTTGATATGGTAGTCATATTATACGTTTTTTCTAAAGGGTTGGGTGAAGATCCCAACTGTACTAAAATCAATAAATATGTAGCTATTGTACCCATTATCTGCAAATAAAATATTATTCAAGTATAATTGTAATATAAGTTATTTGTTATTTGTATTTTAGCTTACTGAAACAAACATTTCAAAGTCCAGATTAATAAATCCATAAATAATAAACTCAATTTTATGATCCAACATCTCCAAAATGAATAATTGTACCTAAAAATAAAAATATTAAACATATAATCCTTACACGAATTATTAGCTAGATAAACTATCGTTCTTTTAAATACAAAAAAATCGGATTATGAATGATTTGTTAAAAAAAAAAAAAAATAGTATCCAATCGGTGAAATCACTTTATTCATTAAATGTTTACTGGGTAACAAAATTATATCACATTCACTATTACTTCTTGTGTTATTTAGAATACAACCATATTTTATTTAATATATGTGGTAATTTTGATATGAATGACTGTTTTAGCTTATATATATATATATATATATATATATAAGCTAAAACAGTATATAAAATAGATATATATATATATATATATATATATATATATATCTATTTTATATTTCCATTAATCATTCGTCTAAAATGTTAGGTAGATGATCTGAATATAGGTTACAGTTTTTATTCTATCTGTCATATATGATTTAATTCATAAATAATTATTTTAGTTAAAGTAACTATTATTTATTTATTAATTTTTTTTTTTTGTTTATTAGAATATAAGTTATTCAATACAATTATTTATTTGTTATAAAAAAGTAAGAATAATATTATTTAAAACATCAAATTAAATAAACTGTAAATACATTTTTAACATTGCTAAAATAAATTGTATAAAATATGTAACACCAAAATTTCTGTCAATAATCGTTAATACGATGCCGCCTGTAAAAATAAAAAAAAATAATACATTATATTAGGTATATAATAAACTTTCACCAGTTAACCAAACTTGATAAGAATTAAATGATTAATTTAAATTATATTATTCTACACATATATATTTAAGTTATGAGATTTCCAATTTTTAGTATAATTTTCTCGGTGATTAATGTTTGGAGACTCGATTATGTTGTTGACAGAGATATATGACGAGCTAAATCAGTAAATTTTCGGATAGTCACGCATCCAAAAACTATTGTGTATACTGAAGGAATTATTTAATCGGAACCATCAGCCAGTAAACAATTGACCACTCCAACAAACCACATCACATATCATATATAATGTACAAATTTTTAAACTGAAAAATTTTATGTGTTATGTTTTTAACTATTAAATGGGAGTTCAAGGAAGTATTATAATAATATTATTATATTACAATATATATCGTGCAAATGTTATAAAAAATCACGTACCTGTCTTTTTGTGAAGTTTATTTGATGGAATTCATTAATTTTCTTTTGAAATGTGATATTAATAGAATTGGCCTAAACAATATAATAGGAACATTACTACAGTTTTTAAGTATATTAATATGGTAATATTTACAACACATTATGAAAAAAAATTATAATTGTTTTGTAATTGAATGCATATATTTATTAATATCTATAGGACTGTATAAAAGCTAATATGTAGGGCATGGATGTTGTAGTAGTCAAAAAGTAGTAAAATATATTGCAATATTGCACTAAAAAATACAAAAAATTGCACTTTAAAAATTAAAAGCTGTACTAATAAGTAATGTTTCGTAATAATTTATAAGACTTCATTATCTTACAAAAAGTTAAAAAATGTTTAAATTCTAAAAAAAAATATTTTAATACTCATATATAATGTTAATATTTATAAAATATGTTACTTAACATTTTTTTTTACATTGAACAGTAAGGGGTTTTTTTTTTTAAAAAGAGTGGAAGAACTCTGTTTAATTTTCAAATAAATAAAAGAACACTATCACACGAAATTTACGGACTGACTTAAGAACATATTGTCAAATAATCATATTATAAATACGACAAATTCAATAATCCCTGTAGGACACGACCGAAACAATTTTAAAAATAATAAAAGTATCTTGACGACTAATCATACAATAAAATCAGTACACAATAAATCATTTAATCAATATACATTAATAAATCATATACATCAAACCTTAAGCCATTTAATAGTTTTATGGACATTTTATTTAAGATAATTAAAATAGTTTTAAAAATTAGTGAAATTAATAAATTGTAGTTAGAATGAAAAATTTCAAAAAATGCCAAAAATTGCACTTGAAAATTTTAAAATTTAAATAATACAAACACACAAGACATTTATAACTTAGCAATAAATTGTAGCAGAAGAAGAAAATTTGTGTATGCAACAACATCCACGCCCTACTAATATGTAAATATAAATAATATTTATACATAAATTAATTATCAACATCAGTTATTTAAACACTTTTATTGATATTTTTAATCGGCTTCAAATATAGTACGGTTATATTAATATTATCTATAATATTATTATCATATGTTCTAATGTGTAAAATGGATATTTTGATAGTAACTATGTATCATTTGTATATTACAATACTCAGTGGCGTAACTGGGAAAAAACCTAGGGGGACAATATAATATATTTATTATTATCAAAACCCTGACACCCCTCCCCCTCACCATTTAAAACATATTTTTATTATATGTATTTTGTACACTATATCTAATTGTTTGATTTTACATAAGTCTTTTAACTCATTTTATGATTTAGATAAACATAAATTGTGGGTAGCATGTACTAGGTACCAATATTTTTAAATAATATCCATAAGAGTTCATTAATAAAAGGTGCTATTTGTACTGTTGGATTATCTGAGGGGGCAAAATTATACCTTTATCTCTCCAAAAATGGTCAGAGGGGGCACTTGCCCCCCTTGCCCCCCCACAATTACGCCACTGACAATACTCATACAATTGTAAACAATGACATCCTAACTACAAATTACGCCAAAGAGCTACAACATTTGACGTTCTTTCTACCATTTTTTTTTTTATAAAATTAACTTCTAGTAAAATTTATCTCATTTCTTAATATATTTAATATTTATTAATTAAGGAATTTGATTATTTTTTATTATGATTATAATTATTATTCTAATCTTAATTATATAAATGTAATTACTTTGTTTTGATGATATTTTAAAGTTTACATAGATTTCATTAGTTTTGCTAAACTATAGAAACATTACTTTTTTTACAAAAATATAAATAAAAATTAAAAAAAATCTCTGTACTCATAAACTACATATAATTATGAATTATATATAATATATTACCATAAGCATTCACATTAGATAAATATTATAATTACGATTATATTTAATAAAACATCTTAATAATAATAATAATGTTTTTATAATTTTATAACACAAATATAACAAGATGTATAATGAAGATAATGTATAAATTATTTTGATTAAACAAAGGTTTTTTTTTACTTAAAGTTTTGCAAACTTTTTAACAATGGTAAAAAATTACACCTACTTAAAAAATTACATTTTGCGGAGATATGGTGTGTATAAAATTGCCATGATAAGTAATGTTTGTTTACCGAATTGTCCGAATTCAATCGAACTCGATTTGTTTATAGAAATTTGTAAAATTATAATGAATTGGTTATAACATAATATATAAATATCAATAATATTAAGAGGTAAATTGTTGTGTTTGTTTATAGAAAATAATCTTTAGAATGGATTTTGAGAATTCGAAAACTACATTGTTCCTAGTAAAATAGGCTATATTTGATTGTGATTAATAATATTTTTATTCTGAATTAACAAAACTTGTCAATCAATTCCAAGAAAAATAGCCTCATGCATTGATTTATATTTTGACGTGCGTTGACCTATAGACGAATAAAATGTTCTTAATGAAAATACAAAAATATTTTTCTTTTTGCTAATAATAATTATTTAAAATATTTAATTTATAATATTAAATGTACATAAATCGAACAGTGTAAGTTGATTGACACGATATATAATATTAAGGATATATTGCAATATCTTCAAGAATTTTTAAATTTTTTGAGCCCTTTTGGCCTACACCCTAAAGAACATATGTTTCAAAATTCCTATTATGCTGTTAAGAAATTTGAGCCCTCCGAACATGTTAAATGGCACAAGGTTTCTGATAAAATAGTTATAGGACAATATAATCGTGGGGATCATCCTCATGAGACCAATAGTGGGACAACTGGATTATATTCCGCGGTACCCATGATTCCGACGGATTTGCCAATATCGATCAAAAGGCTACAGTTTCTAATCAAAATTTCATTTGTCCACAAGATTAATAAATCCCAGGATTAAAAATTCTCTCTGATGAGCATTGAAAAAGGAGCGTTTTTCCCATGGGCAGTTATATGTTGACTTATCTAGAGTTGGAACTCCAGAAAACCAATACATTTTGCTACTAGACAATAGCATAACATACTATACAGATAAGTATCATATAAGTATCAATAATTAACATACTCGCCTAATACATACTAGCAGCCTACAAGAAGTAAAATAAACATAAAATAAATCATAAACACTCAGTACTAAGAAGAACACAATATAATTTCATTACAAGTAATGATGTTTACTTATTAAATAATAAGTTATAAAAATAATTACTTATTAAAACTACAAGCAAAGAGGGCACTAGTTAGCTTGTTATTTTATATTTGGCTAGTATTGTAATAATATTCATTATAATTTACGGATAATATTCGTTCTAATATAAAATCAAATTTATGGAACATGGTAGTTATGCTACTTGGTACTTACTACCTATATAATATCTAAATAGTCATATTTTTTAGTTATAAATAATCATTAAATATTTAACAATAATATTCTATTCTTCCATAATATATTGTAGCCGAATAACACATTATTTATATTATTTATATATTTTCATATTTAATAGTATTTAATTTATAATATGATAGATACTCATCTTTGATATTTCAGGATAAAAGAAAAATTAATAGCTATTTAAAATAAAACACTGAATTTTACTTATTATCATTAATTTTTATTATGCAGTTTAATGTTATAGTTAATTACTTTTTTATGGAAAAAAAACGCTAGTCATCCTTATTCCTCGTAAGTAAATACTTCTGTTGTTTTTTGTTTTTTTTTTTTTGTTATGAAACTAAAAACCTGCAAAAGTGTTTTGGAACCCATAAAAACTAATTCGATAACGAATTATAAAAGCATGATTACCATTAACTTTTCCGAATGAATATAATGATGTAAAGTGTATAATATTTATTATGTTTAAGGTTATTGATAATTGTTTTGTATTTATAATTATATATGGTGGGCATGTATCCCCTGTGCAACGCCCTAGCCTCGACGACGGCTGAACGTCGTGCTCGTTGAGTCCAAATGTCCGCAGACGCAATACCTGTTCAACGGTCGTGTGGCAAACGTCTATGATGAAATACATCTGCAACGTGCGCACAAGCGAGTCGTAAAGAAAGTACAGAGTGATTCGGATGGTGTTCGCGCCTTCGGACATCAATGTGTTGAACGCCGAGAGCATCATGAACGTGACACCGAACACGTTGCCTACGATGTTGATGAACAGTTGTGTCTGAAACAATTGCGTCACCGTTGCGCAATCGTCGCATATGTCCAGGTACGTCAGTCGCGTGATGGACATGGTGAGCCCGGTTACGAACGATGCCGAAACCGATCCCAGCGTATCCGTTATTTGTGCGTTTAGCCTGCACAGAATTCTGGAAAACATAACGAATAACTCGCGATGTACATTTTAGATCATTATACGTTTTTCGGGGCCGTAAATGGAAACCACGCAGTGCCAAGTTTTTGAGATTCACCCCCCCCCCCAAGAAATAAAGAAAAACAAATATCAAACGATCACCTCGTTTTGCCCATTATTTTAATAAGAACTGTTAATATTTTTAACCTCCTGCTCCTGTGAACGCAGGCTTGTAACATGTACATAATTATACACGGGCAAGAATATTTTTTCCCTCCTCAAAGTTATTATTATGATCTTGATTATCAGGGCTAGGATTTGTATGCGGTAAAAAATTGTAAAATATGCATTTTATTTACCAAAATATGCATTTAAATTTTTATAAGATAAACACAAAAATATAGTTACAAAAAAAATATTTATTTATTGAAATACATCAGTGGTTGTCTGTTTGTCTTAATATATTATAATTAAGAAATAAAATAAAATAATTTAAAATAAAATTTATGTTTGATAAAAAAAACCAAGTTTTATACTTTAATCAGCAGGGCTAGAATTAAATACGAAATATTAATATTAAATTATAAATATTAATTACGAAATATACTATAAAACATTAATTTTTCGCATTCTTATAATCGAAATATGCAATAATATTCATTTTATTTAATATATGCAGTAATATGCATTTTATCCAAAATATGCAAAAACATGCAAAATAAAAATACCACCATTTATCTCATCATGAGGTTATTCGTGGACATAACTGACAAAATCAATAATCAGAAGTCGCAAAAAAAAACATGCTGTTGCATAAAAATCTTAGCCATGTTGATTATTATTATTATTATTATTACTATATTTTTTTATCAGATTATTCAAGTCAAATAATAAAGTTAATATTTTCCGAGCGTCAATTCGGTCGATCGACATTGTACACACAATATGCGTCACATAACCTTTTTATTTCGACTTTTACACTTTTATTTTATAACATATTTTATGGAACTAATTAACAATTGCGTTAAAATTATTTTATAACTATAAAATACTATAACAATATTATAATTTTAAGTGCAGTTTAGCAGCGAGAGGTAATCCAACTTTGTTGGATTTAATAGTGATTAATTTTAGTAAAAATTATAAAAGGCATCCCATTTATTTTCGTTAAAATATTGTTCATTTATTTCTTAATTAATAAATATAAATTATTAAGTTAAGGTACCTAGGTTCATACTTACATCTATACATTTAGAAAGAGTAAAGTTATTTTTATTATTAATTATTTGAAAAAAATCTATAAATAATTAACGGTTAAAGTGACTAAAGGGATTTAAGGAGGGAGAAAAACGAATATGGTGAAAAATTTATGAAAGATAATTTATGGCGTTTGTAAGATTTTAACGCATCAGGACGCGGAGACGGTAGTACTGAGAAGTCATGAGTACATAGTGCGCTATAAAATATAATTAAAGTACATTAGAAATTCGAGATAATGCACTTAAAAAACGCCATATTAGCATTTTGTCGTCGGCAAATATTTGATATTTATTTTATACACTAGAGTTCAATTTTATCGTTGAATAAATGTTTGTGAACTGGAAAATAAATATTATTATCGTCCTTATACATAGATGATTTATTGTATACGAATGAAAAAATAAAAAAGCGCGGAAATGATGAAAACGTCGGTACGTATAGCGACAGCGTTTCGAAGTGTTTACTAGCGACGAGCCTCCTCCTCCAGAACAGTTTTCGCAGAAAACCTAGCGCGGGACAGTGTGCCGACGAGAAGACGAGGGCGGGCTTCAGACTTTGTCGGCAACGACGATGGAACCGTACCGGTGCTGTTGTCGAATGTGATGGTTAAGGTACGGTTTCCGAACTGCAACGAGCTGACATTTATTTTCAGTTCAGATTAGTTGAGATCGATATTTCATTCACAAATAACTAAAGATGGAACGAATAATAATCATAAATAATAATAAAATAATCACGAATTTATTATAGAAGGATGAAGAAGAAGAAGAAATAATGTACACTTCGACTAACTGCCAGTCCGTCGGTTTTAAATACAGTTTTCGATGTTTTTCAATCGAATTCATTCGTTTATAAAAATGTACAATCGAAACGAAATCGCAATGCGACACACGCGATACACTCCGGGTCACTACGGCCGTCAAACGCGACGGCTATTGTTGACACGTCGGTCGGACGTCGGAAACCACTATAAACGGAACAGTCGGGTGGTCGTTGCGGCTTGGAAACCGTACGTTTACACGTACCTTTACATCGCGGCGTGCACAGGTGAGTGACGGGTTTGTCGCGGACGGCGATATTTAACGGCCAATAGCAGCCCATACACGAAAGGTTTTCCCGTCAGTTTTGAAATGGTATTCCAAAACTGCCGATCAGGTCGTCAGTTCTAGTCCGTCGCGGTACAGAACTTTTGATATCCATTTACTGTCATTCCAGATCTGCCGAATTATACCGCCCCTTTGGAATGTAACGACTAGATAGGTAGGTGTATGTTCAAAACTGTCAATTTTACTGCGGTTATGATGTGTCACTAGATCTTTTGTCATGTTAGAAATATTTTTTGCTACGGAACAGTACCTAGTACGTAGTAGTAGTGTTTACAACTAATACTGTGGACTGTAGACTGTGACCGTCCATACACGTACAAGTCAAATAACAATATTTATCTTTCAAAAATATCTTTAGCGATAACGCGGTTCGATTCGCGGTCTGTGATATTTTTATCCCATATACGTACAAATCAACTGAGCGATTTGGTCGGCCAAGGGACAAATCCGACAGATAAACCTTTCGTGTATGGCCTGCTAATGGGTGCCAGCCCCGGTCCGATGCGTGCACGTACGCAACGGGTTAGGTTAGATGTGCTGTTAGAAAACGACGAGAGCACGCGCACGCGTCGGGACCGTACCGCGCATTATTCCGGCCGGTTCGCGGACGGGCGCCGAAGGTCGACGGTGACTGACAGCACGCGCCGCGCAAAGTCCTCGACATGACGAGATTTCAACCGTCGTCGAGTGGACGGATCGTCGACGGATCCGTTCCGTCCTCCTCTTTCTTTTCCTGCTGCTCATCGCGCTGCTGAACCGTCGTGGATCAATCGGCACAATGGCCCGCCGTCTCAAGGCTCCCCCGCCGGCCCCGGTCCCGTAACGTCGCGCTCTATAGTCGAGCAGACGGCGGACCGTGACGTCACCGACCGTGCCGTCGCCGCCGCCGCCGCCGCACGTCGAGGCGACCCTTCGTGAAAGGTTGCGGCGAGCCGAGAGACGCGCGTCATCGCGCGCGCACCATTATGTCGGGGTTTTTGTTCCTTCTTGCGCGCGGTTTTTGTCTCTCGGCGCGCGAAGGCCGAACGCTCGCGTGCGCGCACCGTCCCGGGCGCCCGGTCCGCTCGACGCGTATATAACGTCGGCCGGCGCTCGGTCCGCCGCACTTCTTACGCTCCGTCCGACCGTTTTCCCGACAGCACCACCCCGTGTCTCTGCGTGTCACCGCGTCCGTTCGCAACCGTATCCGGACACCGACGCAGAGCACAGAACGCGAACGCCGGCACGCAACGCGGTTACCGAGATCGCGTCGCTCGTTCGTTAGCACCACCACGTGGTCCACGCCGCCGGTCAACGGCACACGAAGATCGGACCGCACACAACATGACTAAGGTAACGTTTGCTTCACGTCGCCGAAAACCGTCGATTTCGGTACACGACCGTACGACGGCGGACGTTATGCGATGGTCGGGAATTTTACACGAACCGGTAAACGTCTCGGTCCATCGTTCCGATCGCGAGAGCGTGCCACGCGAACAGCCTTTGACGCGCATTCTCTCCGTAAATATCGGGCAGTTGTAAACGCGTTTACCGACCGCCGAGTGGAAAGTTGAACCGACTGAATTCAACGGTTGGGCATAGGACAGTTTCACAAGTTTCTCTGCATAATGTCAGTACAACGGTAGTACAGCGGATCTGAGTTGTAGATTTGTAGAACTATTTTCAAGTAACTCGATATTTTGTTAACACCCCACTGCTTCAAAGAACCAGGATTTACATTAAGGCGACGAATTTTGGTAGATTTCATCTCGTCGATAGTTCGTTTTTTAACTTATTATTTATTTTGGATTTATCCATATTATTAACTTTGTGTATACCTGACGATGAATTTTTAATTCGAAACCGACCGTACTTAATGAATACAATAACACTCCTAAACTAAGCATTTATTTATTTATTTCTATGAATAAGTTATTTGTTTATTTATTATATATAATTAATATTATGTTTATTTTATAATGCACGTATATTTTGATTTTAAACCAATATTTTCTTATTGGTGAAACATAGTTTTAGTATGCAAACAGTACAAAAAAATTATTAAGTTAGGTTAAGTATAATTTTGTAAAATGTATGACGGTCAACGAGTGTTGGTTTTTTATTTGGTTGTTGACACGACTTTATTGACATTTCCTACCAATGTGTGTTAAGTATTTACATTTTTAATTAAATAATTTTTTTAAACCACGATTTTTTTGATTACAATAGTGAGTATATTTTTAAAAATTCTTAGATATTTTTGTAACTATACAACATGATTTTTATTGCAACTACGTATATTAAAAATAATTAAATAATTATTTTATTTAGTTTTTCTAAAATTTGGAATTGAATCTTATCATAACTAACAAAATATTATAGATAATACTTAATCAATATAGTAATAAGCTACTATAATTGTTTTTTTTATTATTTTATATTATTGACCAAAACAATTTTAAAATAGTTTACATTTTCTATTGAGTATTAAAATTTGAATATAAAAAAATAAGATCCTTAAAAATGGATCTCAGCATACGTATTTTATTTATTAAAACATTTTTATTTAGTTTAAATAATTTTTCTATCGTCTTTATAATTTTAGATTAATTGTAGTGTTAAAATAATGAATAATTATATTGTATAATTATAGTACACGTCTAAAAAAAAGTGAAACGATTTGGTGAATGAAAATCTTAATATAAAAAATAATAAATAAAATAAAAATTATATTTTTATGAAAATTGCAAATAATTGTGAAAATAATATTTTTTATGGTATCTATTTATTAAATCGTATTCCAAAAAAAAGTTGCTAATTAATTTAGTAGAATTTTGAAAGACTAAATACTATAAGAATGTACAATGTAAAATATTTACTTTTTTTTTTACTTCAATACAGTGAATTATAATTTGAAATTATATTTTTAATTTATATTTTATTCCTATATTTTTAAGTTCAAATTTATTTCACTCATATTGTTACACAGCCAACATAATTAAAATTAATTATTCGGAAATTATTTAACACAAATTATATTATAAGTAATTTAAATGAGTTTGGAATTAAAAATAAATATAAAAGTATATGTTTGTTTCAGAAACTAATAATTGTGGTATGTTTATTGAGATTATGCATTTGTCAGCAATATGATCAATCAGGAGGACAAGGATCTTCAAATGGAAAATATGGTGGCCCTACAGGAAGATCGTCTGGAGGGCCTAATAGTGGTGCTGGCATTAATAGTTATGGTCAAAACCAAGGAGGGCAAGGCGGATATGGAAATGGCTTCAACGGAAATAACAGAAATCAAGGCCAAAATGGACTTACTAATTGTGGTCCTAATCAAAACGGTGGCCTAGGTGGAGCTAACAATGGTGTAGAAGGCAATGGTTTTGGAGCAACTGGTGGGTATGGAAGTGGAGCTGGTGGACCAAGTGGTGGTTTTAACGGGGGTGGTAGCAGTGGAGGATATGGAAATGGAGGTTTTGGAGGTAATGGTGGACGGGGAATCAGTGGTTTAGGGGGAAGTGGAGGATATGGGAACGGAGGTTCGGGAGGAAGTGGAGGATACGGAAATGGTGGTGCTGGAAATAATGGCGGACGTGGAAATGGAGGCTATGGGGGGAGTGGAGGATATGGAAATGGAGGTTTTGGAGGTAGTGGTGGATCTGGAAGTGGAGGGTATGGAAATGGAGGTTCGGGGGCTAATAATGGGTTTGGAAACGGTGGTTTAGGAATTAGTGGTGGATATGGAAATGGTGGTTTAGGAGGTATTGGTGGTTTAGGAAGTAGTGGTGGATATGGAAATGGTGGTTTAGGAGGCAGTGGTGGTTTAGGAAGTAGTGGTGGTTATGGAAACGGAGGTTCAGGAGGTAGTGGTGGTTATGGAAATGGTGGTTCAGGAGGTGGTGGAAGATATGGGAGTGGAGGATCAAGTGGTTTTGGATCTAATAATGGACCTAATGGTGGAAATTTTAATCCAAATCAAAATGCTCCACCTGCTGCCAAAGTGAGTTTCAACAGCTTTTTCGGAAGTTCTGGACGAAATGGTCGTGGACAGTCTGGCGGACCTAATGGAGGTGGTTCCCGTGGATCCGGCAACTATGGTGGTCAGAACGGTGGAGGTTCCGGTTCATACGGTGGACAAAATGGTGGAAA